CATGATATCAAATGGTTGATTATGAATTGAGATTCAATTTATGTGGATGTTCGACGCATTAGATATGCTTACTCAGCTTTACCGCTGAGCGTGTAGTGTGTTTTATTTGCTACACGCAGGTCAATAGAATGATGTGACGTGATCCTGGAGGCAGACGGAGGCGAGATAGTCGGAATGGATGTGATGGTTTTGAATTAAATAATATAAATAAATTATGTTTGTGGTTATGATTTGTTAAGCTTCCGCAACATTGAAAACTCTGTACTGTTTATGATATGAAAAATATTATTATCATAAATAAAAGTGTTTGAAAAGTTTTAAATTTTACGATTACCAAGTTAATACTTTAGTCCGAAAGGGGCTGCAGACCTGGACGGATTAGGGTGTTACATTAGATGCCCTTCAATTTCATCTCTTTGATTGAAATCCCTAGGGAGTTGTAGCATGTGGTTCCGCCGTCGGTAGAAATCTGCCGGATGTCGCTCCCTACTTTGACTCTTGAAATTTCTATTCATGTAGATTTGGTATTGTTCCCGCTGATGACCAAAACCTGGGTATACCCAACCACGATTGAATCGCCTAAAATCCTTATACTTGGGGACGACATCGGAGAAGAACCTATCGCCATTCTCTGGCTTCTCTCTAAAACCTATCGCCATATGATATATATATATATATACATATATATATACATACATATATATACACACACACACACACACACACACACACACATATATATATATATATATATATATATATCCCGGTATGAGTCACCAAAATCTTTCTAGATTTTCCTCCATCACGATCTCATATCATTTCTCGTATCAATCTTGATTCGGGTTTATATATATTCCCAAAATCGTTTGAATGCCCTAATTTCTGATTTTGGTGTTCCAATTGATTCAATGATCGGATCAAGTTTGTGGACGGAGGGAGTAATACCTAAGAAATATATTTATCCCTGATTTCCTAAAAGAATTAAACTCTTTTATAACTACAAAAGCATATTAGCCTAAAAAAGAAAAATGAGAATTACTCTAAATTAAGAGACGCCTATATAAAAAAAGGGATGCAACAGAGTAAGTAAAAGGTGTTGTAGAAAAGTTCTAATTTCCTGGATCAATTTCATACACCAAATACGCAGCTAAAAAAGAGAGCACTTACTATTTGTGGAGTGATAGCGGTAGCTGCAACATACATATCCAGTTTGCTAATGGGTATGCCAATTCTCTTGACTCCAAGATCTCCTCATACATACATACATACATATTATTATTATTATTATTTTGTTTCAAAGATAAAGCAAACCACAAACATTGAGAAGAAAAAAATTATATCTCAAATTTGATCAAAATCCAGATCTTCTTGTGACCTACTTAGTAAAAACCTGCTATGTTTATAAACCTTGTTTAAAACAAAAACCGTAAGATAGTGAATACTCTAAAAGTTTGGAACATTTAGAATTCTCCCAAGTTTTTTTGGATGCCCTTCAACAACCATGCCGAAAAGCTAGGAAGAAAAACATATCTAACTCCTGAAACAAAATCTACCAAATGTCTCACAAGAAAAATAAAAGAGGATGTAGTGACAANTTCCTACCAGTAGGTAAGAATTTTAAAATGACTGCCAGTAGGTAAAAAGCACTACCAGTAGGGAAGTAGATAAAAATAGCTACCAGTAGGTAACAATCACTGCCAAAGCCTAGAAACCTAAAACAGAAAGAAAAAAGAAACATACTCGTAAATTAACTGGGCAAAAGTGACAACCGCGTGCGAAGGCCGAAGGTAGTAGGCAAGTAGCGAAGCTCGAAGAGGAGTGCCATGGCTGATGTGGGTTGTAACTATGTGGGTATTTGTGCGTGTGGGAGAAGGGGTGTATTTACACACAGGGAAAAATCGCTTGGAAAAGGTCTCATTCTCGCGTAAAAATCAAAACTACGAAACAAAACCTTTTCGAATTTCCGCATGTGTATTCATCTCTCTTTTCGATCGGCAATCTCAATCAATTTTACGATCCAGATCGTCGATCGTGCCGATTCCAATGTAATTTGCAATTTTCAGTGCGATTTTGATCGGAAATAGGCTGGCGATGCACGGAATCCTACAATCCGGATCGCGAGTTTGACTACCATGCCCTTCCCATTATTCAATATAGTACTTAAAACTACTTATCTATCTATCTATCTGTGTGTGTAAATATATACATATATATATAGTACCTTAAAAAATTTATTCCCTAAATAGAATTTAATTATAGTACCTAAACCCCTATTTTGAAGGATAGATATGGCCGTATGGGCGGGAGAGGGAAAGGCCAGTTCTATACTGCAAACTATAGTTACCCGAGAAGGGTATTTTTGAATTTTTGGACTAATATTAAATAATTAATAAATAATTTAAGTACTATACAGAGAAATTAAAACATTAAGTACTACATTGGGAAAATAGCTATGATTTAGTACTATATAGTAAATTTCCTTTAAGAAAAAGAATTAGTGTTGCTAGCATCTAGTAATGATATTCCAAACAAAAGATGTTGAATTCCAATGTATTTTTTAATGCAAGAAATACAATGTCAAAAGATCCTTTCCCTTTTTTTAGTTTTGAATGTGTTGACAAACAATACAATGTCAAAAAATTGATTGTTGCATTTATTTTAGAATGAAGTACTTATTCGTTAACATTAGGCTAACATACTTTGATTCTATTCATTTTGAGCCGAGATTCTTTCAAAGACAAACTACTTTGTATGGGTACAGGTACAGGTAAGGCTAACATACATCTTACCCTCCCACTTGTTGGATACACTGGATTTGTTGAGCCCCACGTTGAGGAATAACATGGCTTCTTGATGTTGTGCCTTGAAAGGAGTTATTTATTGTATCTATGACAAGGAGAATTCAAACTTATACAACCTCAAAAAAGACCTTACCAGAAGTACTCATTGAAATCATCATAATTTCTCCAAGCTGAATAAGGTGCCCGCCCATTATCATTGTTTCTAGTTTCCTGCAAACATGAAGTTGGTTAGCTAGTTTTGAGCTATCTTCCATCCCTCCCCCTCGGAACAAAATGTCTTTGTATGCAACAAGCTCTCTTAGTTTCTATATCACTAGCTCTCATAGTTTTATGTATATTTATAAATATACACAAGCATGCACATATACATATACATATACATATATTTTCATGATAATGCAATAATGATATACAAAAGATATTTAGCTGGTTTGAGTGAGAGTATCCCCATGTC